GTAGCTTAGTGTGTGTGTGTGTGTGTGTGTGTGTGTGTGTGTGTGTGTGTGTGTGTGTGTGTGTGTGTGTGTGTGTGTGTGTGTGTGTGTGTGTGTGTGTGTGTGTGTGTGGGTGTGTGAGTTGGATTGCTGCCATTATCCTCGAGTATCAGCACCTTCTCGTGCCTTTATGTTCTCCACTTCACTTGACATACAGTACATTACATTCAGTACCTTCACACACATAGTACATATTTAGCACTTATGGATACTTTCCTCCCTTTAGAAGGATATAGCAGCTTGGGCAACACTTCATGTTGCTTATGTTTAAGAGGTTCTCTGGGAATAAAAAGCCTCTGCATGCAGACGAGACATTTTCCATGTGAATTATTTCAAGGTGTGTTTGACATTTATTTTATAAAGCCATGGGTATTTCACAAGGTAAGCAGTCCACGCACAAACACGGAGAGAAGACTTGCATTATGTGGCATAAGTGCAGTGAATGTTTTACACCCATACTTTGTATTTATGGCATCTAAATTAAATACATACAAATAACCTTACAACAGTGCTTGAGTCTGTCAAAAGTGGTTCTGTTTGAAGTTGGCTTGATAGTGTCAGTTTCTAAATGTCATACATCAGCTTTCATTCTTTCTTTGAGACATGTTTTACAAGGTTCTCACTTTAAAAAGGTCAGCTGGAACATGAATAAATCATCAGGCTGGCTTCTCAAACCAATGCCAATAAGTTACCTTCAGCTACATTGGTTAGTTAATTAGATATAGCCTCTGAAACTGTTGTTATTTAAAGGGGCCCCATTATGCCTTTGGGGCTTTTCCCTCTCCTGTAGTGTGTTCTAATGTTTTTTCTGCATGTAAATGGTCGGCAAAGGGTAAAATCCGTTTCTCTCTGACACACTGCCTGATACGCCTCCATTGGACTCCTTTGTTTAATTTCATAACATAATGACACCACTACGTTACACTCACACTTCTTGGCTGGGGCTGCAACATTTTTGTTGTGATATGCTAAGGGGAGGGACATCTCTAAGCAGTTGACCAGCTAACCAATCAAAGCAGACTGGGCTCTGGTTTCAGACAGAAGGTGGAGAGAGGTGCTGCAGCACAGGCATTATGAGAAAAGTAAAGCCTCTTTTGAACATTAAAGCATTAGAACATGTCACATTAAAGGACAAAAATACAAATATGTACAGTACCTGAAAAATAGCAGTATAGGGCCTCTTTAAGCCAGAATCCCTAGCATATGTTGTCTGTTTTATTGTGGGATCAGGGAGACATTGTTTCCCAAAATAACTTGTTGTGGTTAATCAGCTATCAATGCCTTTATTCAGTGGTGAATATGAAGGCTTCATTTTATCTGGTTACGAGGATGTTTCAGAGATGATGAAGCACAATTTGTATTCAGTTTAATCCTTAGATAGTCCTAAGAAGTTAACTTTCACCTAATCAGCATTTTAGTGTGGGCAGCTTTATCTAACGGCACTGGAAAGACTTCACTTGACATTTTTGGCACATACAGTATATCCTGATTGTTTTTTTCCAACCTCTGCCCAAAATATTGTTTTACCTTGAAAAGGTTGAGGACAGCCATTTTCCAATTACAGATCTTGTCTTTGGGTGTTAATTGCTGACTGTCCTCTGGAGCTGTCTTGGAAGCAGCGTGGATATTTTTAATAACCTCTAATCGCAGTGAAACAGAGAGCAGTAATAGAGAAGAGCCAAGTTGCTTTTTTGACCCAGCATCCTTCACCGAGGTGTAATCTCATACAGAAGCCATGTTCTCTTCCAAAACACAAGTCACTGTGATTCATTCTCCCCAGGCATTAAAACAACAATCATTTTGTTTTGTTTGGGTTGAATTAGGTCAGCGGAGTAGAAAAAAAGCGATGGATCTTATTCGGGTTTTTGGCTTTTTTTTTTTAAAACATCATGCTTTGCTCTGCTTTAGGATGTCAGCTGAAGAACATTTCGACATGGCAGAATGAAAACGGTTAAAAAGATAATTAACTTTCAAATAATCATGAGTACACCATGTTTAATTGCAGCCACATTGCGTTATTGCTCTTTTCACATCTGCCAACATCGTTATTGTTTGCATTCCTCCACAAAATCATCAGCATCCAGGCCTACAGCGAGAGAGTGAATCAATCAACTCTTTGGTTATCCCTCTCCTAATATGTGATAATGTTGTGTTTCCAGGCAGCCCTCCAGCCACAGGCACCGGCTCTTTGGTCATCTACCTGGAAGACTATAATGACAACGCCCCCTATGTGGTCCCGTCGGTAGCGCGGGTGTGTGAAGATGACTTGAGCGTGGCTATAGTCGGGGGGCGGGACAAGGACCTTTACCCCAACGCCGCACCCTTTAAGATAGAGCTGGGAAAACAGCCGGGCCTCGACAAAACATGGAAGGTCACCAGGGTCAACTGTGAGTACTTTATTTTGAGGTTTTGTTTGCTCAGTACTTTTTGACATTATAATAGCGTTAAATAACGGGAAAAGTTTCACCTCTTTGAAAATAACAAACAGGGCTCTGTGAGTTACTTTTTCTTTACCTGCTATTACACGGTCATTATTTTACCTCTCAAGAGCTTTGAGTGTATTCTACACAGGGCTGCCAGAAAGCACTCGGGGGAGGCAGGTGATGGAAAGATAAAATAAACAAAGAAAAATAAGGAAAAAGAGAGTAACAAAAGTAAATTGCAACAGCATTCGACAGCATAAAATATTGACTTATAATATAAGTCGATTTTTAGTACAGACAAGTTACGCCCAATAGATTTGCTCAAGTACTGTGTACAGTGCCATTTTGTAATTGTTTTAATTTGAACATTTAAATGTCATGCTACTTTCCACTTCTACTCCACTGCATTTCAAAGGAAGTATTGTACTTACTTAGCAAGTTCAGATTTATGAAAAAAAAGCGATCAATTATTTCAGATTAAACTATCCAACATGATACAAAGTAGTTCAAATGTGAGGTCTACCAGCCGTCACTTTAAAATGTCTCCTACATGAAAAGCATCAATAATAATATTTCAATAATATAAGTCATAATAAAAGCTTCTTTACAGGAAAGAAAAGGTCTTTCACATTAATAATCTAAGCACAGTGTGATTGTAATACTGTTGTGCTATTCCTAAAGTAAGTAAGTACTTTGACTCAAGTATAACATCTGTGTACTTACTTAACAACTAATGCCGTCTGAACTAGAACAGATAACATGACAAAGATGAAGGGAAAAATAATAACAGGATGGAAGGATGAGGAGGAGGAGGATAGACGAACAAGAAAGACATTGATTCAGGGTTGCATGACTGGCAGCGCAGTGTGTGTGTTTGAGTGACAGAGCAGAGCTGAAACCTGCCCAGAGGTATTAGCTGTGACTGGCAGCAGGAGAGGGAGGTACAGACACTCCTCAATCACCCCCGCTGGAGAGACAGATAGGGCCCGCTCGTCTGAAATGGACTGGCACTGTGCTCGTCTCCTGTGTGTGTTTGTGTGTGTGTGTGTGTGTTTGTGTGTGTGCCTGTGTTTGAGAGAGATGTGTGTGTGTGTGTGTGTGTGTGTGTGTGTGTGTGTGTGTGTGTGTGTGTGTGTGTGTGTGTGTGTGTGTGTGTGTGTGTGTGTGTGTGTGTGTGTGTGTGTGTGTGTGTGTGTGTGGAACCACAGGTAGGAGAGCTGGTACGGGTTCACCCCTCATCACCATACATCTGTGTACATTTAACTTGTTTTTTTGTCATGCAACATCTAGTTTTAATCCTTCTTACTACAAATGTTTGGTTTCAGAATCACTCTTTTTACTGAATCACTTCAGTGTTGGACCCTTACAAGTACAATTATGAGGTCCTTTGCATGCTAATAAATACTTCTACTCCACCATAATTTAGAGACACATTTTGCCAAATAAAATATAATCAACAAAGACTTTATTATGTATTATTATCGGCTAACATTCCTTGGTGAAATAAAAAAAATGCCCAACAGTAAACAAAAGCTCTGTCTTTACCAGCTGCAGAATTTAAGCAATTGAAACATCAATTCATCATAATTATAATCCAATCAGATTATATATATAATATTCTGAAATTGGCCATTATATCCAAAGACTATCTCAATGTTTGGTATTTATTACAAATTTGTATTTAATGGTGCTTATACTCTTGTACTTTCCTCAAGTAAAATGTTGAATTCAGGACTTTTACTTGAGAATATATTCACTGTGGTATTGTTGATTTTACTTAACTAAAACACCTGAACACTTTGTCCATATTCTTTTTCAAATCAGTCCTTTGAAATTATAAATGTAGACGGTTTAAAAATACATATGGGTGAATGATTGAAGGAATAGTTTGACATCTTGAGAGATGCTCCTATTTACTTTCTTGCCTCGAGTTGGATGAGAAGGTTGATACCGCTCTCTGTCTGTATGATACAAATTAAGTTACTTACAGCAACCAGGTAACAAATTCTCTGAAGATCCCTAATCAACATGTCACATTAATATTTTAATGTTTGATAAAACATGGGAGCTCCCCTGGAGATAATACTGTATATCAACAAATTTCAAAGACACTTCCAATAATGTGTCACCCTGCTGTTTTTGTTATCACCTTGGATTTGATATTGCATGTGGCTGCAGACACGTGAGATAAACAAATGAGCACGATTCCATGAACACACAACATAAGTAGACTACTGTAGATGTGATTAAACTATCTACGGATTAATAAAGCAGTACTAAGAGATCTGATTGTACATGCTTATCAGGGATTGTAGAAACTTCAGGAAATTCTGCATCTCACACGAGAGTCCTTTTGTATCAAAATACGCAGAGCGAGAGACTTGTGAAATGTTTACTGCTGCCTTTCGAGCACACAGTCTGACAATGTAAATGTTCTAATTAAATACAAGACTAAAAGTCAGCTGACCAGGAGTTAACAGCCATGCCAGATGGGTGAAATGCACATTTTTGCAAATTGTGACACATTTCAAAGTAAAAAAAGGCTCCAGAGTTTTCTTTTGTGACTCTTAAGGAAGGGTAAAATCTGATGCAACCCAATGTAACAATCTTACGCAACTTAAGTAGTGCCAATTTGTGTCGCTGCAGTTGTCAGAAGAGGCTTGGCAGTCAGTTACTTGGGGTGCATTAGTTTTGTACATATTTAGTTCTGCTTTGCAAAATAGGATGCTCTTAAATACAGAATAGACGGACAATAGACGGGATGGCGGATTATCATACACTCGCTTTATTTAACCTCCCTCTTCTTCTCTGTTTCCTCCACAGCCACACACTCCAAAATCGTGCTCTTGCACAGTCTGAAGAAAGCCAACTATCAGCTCCCATTGCTCATCACTGACTCGGGGGTGCCCCCCTTGTCCAACTACACAGAGGTCAAAGTTCAAGTGTGCGTCTGCAAGAAGAACAAGATGCACTGCAGCTCCGCCCACTCCCACCGCGCCAGCCTTCTCGTGCTGCTAGCAACACTCCTGCTCGCCCTACTCTGTAAGTAACCATCAACACCACCACACAGACCAAATGAGAACTGAAAATGGAGGGTTCTATTCTGCTCATTTTCAGGTTCATAATTGTATTTTGTTCCTCTACTGTGAAATGTTGACATGCTTTAATGTTCAAAAAGCTCTTTATTGTCCTCCTACTGCCTGAGCTGCAGCACCTCTTTTCCCCCTCTGTCTGAAACCAGAGCCCATGATTGGTTAGCTCGCCGGCTCTGTTGTGATTGGGCAACTGCTTAGAGATGTCCCGCCCCTTAGAGAAACTCCCTCTGGAGGAACTGCTGGGATGTTAGCCTTTGCAGACCATTTACCTGCACAAAAAACTACCCAACACACTACGGGAAATTAAAAACACCAAAAAGCATATTAGGGCCTCTTTAAAAACGGATTTGTGCTTAGTCAATATGGTATGTTGCTTCCAGTTTATCATTTGGAGAGAAATCATTACAGACATGATGTAAAATATATAAAAGTGTAGCATTTCATTAAAGTTCTCTTGTGTATTGGTGCACATCAATGCACATTAGTTGAGGCATTTGGCTATTGTGCTTCTTGCATCCATGTTGCAAAAGAATGCGTTCACTTTCCTTTTTATTTTCTTCCTGCCATGCCTCGGGCCCTCCCCCGGGCCCTCCCCAGGAAGACAAACTTGAATTTACTCCAAACATCTCAATTCAAGCCATTAGCAATAGCATGAATAATTCAGCCTCCCCCATTCAGAACACAGACGTAATGGAGGACGTCCAACAGCTAGTTTTTTGGGAACGAAAGATCATTTCCAACTTGAAGTCACCCAGATCCGGCATTTGTTCTCTTTAGTTTGTAGTCGGGATCGCTGTATGCCGCATGCGGGGTACAGCGGGAGGGATTCTGATAGTAAGGAGAAGAACAAGAAGAGTATTAACAATAGAGTAAAAGAAAATTAGAAATGACTGGAAAAAGCCAAATGAGATTTCAGGCCTAAAGCTGGTCCAGTCGTAATTTTAACACCTTTTTTTCCCGCTGATTTGTGTTTGACTGTGAAATGTTCATTGAAGACTAACACGCTTCTCCTTTCTCTATCATCCCATGTCTTTTTGTTCTATTGATCTTAAAATCTTTTTCCTGCCTCTCAATTCCAGTTGATCACTCCTGCTTGTGTATTCTGTCTGTTTCCTGTCTCTCATCCTTCAGCTCTCTCTGTCGCTGTTCCCCCCCCCCCAC